CATCAATAAACAGTACTTCGTGCATAAAAAATGGTCTTTAAGAGTTTTTGTCAAATACTTTATAATATAGTATAAATTATAGCAATATTTTTTTAATTCATTTTTTATTAAAATATTATGCTTTAAAAAATTACTCATTATTATATTGGGTAACCTTTTAATTTAAATTTCATCATTATACGGTTAATATCATATCCTCATATTGCTGATGTAACATTTGTTATTACAGTAAATTATTTTATTATAACTTCCCCAACTCCTATTACATCTGCTTTTTAGTTTAATATTTTTATTATTTAGACATTTTATATTTAAACATGTTTACCAAAAATTATAATTTAAGAAATTAAACATGTTTATAAAAGATCACTATTTCATGGGGAATGTCATATAAAAGATAAGTTAGGTAACAAATAGATGTTATCGTAAAGATAAAGAAAAAAAATAAGCAACAGATAAAAGTTAATCCCAGATAAAAGATAAGTTAATCAGATACGATCGTAATCAAGGGAGAATGCAAAATCTTTTTGTAAGAAAAAAGGAAATAGAAACAATTGTTAATCCATTATAAAGCACATCAGTTGCAGCTACATCTGCTTTAAACTCTATCTCAACTTGACAACTGATATTTGTCATTTCATCCATGATAAAGCAAGTAAAAAATAAAAAGAGAGAGAAAACAACAGAACATCCAGAACAATTGCACCGATAAGCTTATGGAATCCAAATGTAAAAGGGAAAATCATATTGAAAGCAAAAAGGAAACGACTGAAGATGCAATTGGGACTTGAAGAACACATGATAACGATACCATCCCAACCTCAAGATTGAATATAATATCAACCCGATCAATCAAATAACCAAAGTCTGAATAGATAAGGATTTACCAGATTCGATCACATTAACGATAAGGGAAAGTTTAGAGTCGTTCTAAGAGGATTTTTCTTTTTAATGTCATGTAAGCATGTCGTGCATGCCTTCCACATCATTTTAAGTCTGACATGTCAGTAGAGGGAACCGGTTTAAAAGGTAACTCAATGCTAATACCTTGATAAAAAAATTTAAAGTACAATACCTTAATAAAAACTAAATTGAAAGTGCAATGCTATAATAAGGAAAAACGAAAGTACAATGCTATAATAAGGAAACTTATGAAAGGGTTGTTATTTCATGCATTTTGCGCTTTCTTTTAAAGCAAAATTGTAAATAGAGTAAATATAGATATAATCTACGTGGTTATATAAAAATTATGGATTGAAGCCCTCGGAAAATTTCTTTATGGATTAGGTCATTGTAGTTAGGGGTGTGCAAACCCGAACTTACTGACTTACGCGACCTTACCCGAATCGAGAACCCCATTAAATATGGATATCCGAACATCAACGACATTCGAAACCGATAATTAAGTAGGATTGTAGGATTTGGGTTGGGTTTGCTTATTGGGCACCCGAACCCACTGAATATTCGAATATAACCTAATTTCTTTTTCTTTTTTTATAAACATACTTCACAAAACATCAAAAAACATGATGTGACATAAAACAATTTTTGTTAAGAAATTATATCTTATAATTTATAATATTTTTCACTGTCACATCAGTAAAAAAATACTGATTTTAACATTATCAATTACCAAAAAACAGTTTTCTATTAAAAATCATAATCACAACCAACACAATTTCTTATTTAGAAATCTTTTTTTTTTTTGAAGTATATAATATTTATATACGGCAAATACAACAAATAAACTCACACACCCTCCTCACCTATGGTGAGGTTTGAACCCCTGACCTCCTAGAAGGCCAAGGGCTACGATACCGCTAGACCAAAGGCCCTTTGGTTTATTTAGAAATCTTGCATGGCAATTAGAAACGCATTAAAAATCATTGGTCGATTTAACTCATGTGTTGTTTCAGTGTATGAAACAAAACTTCAATATCTCATATGACGTTTTCGCATTAGTGGCACAAATTTTTTTCACATTGTGAAGCAATCCTAAATTGTTTCATTATATGGAGAGAAAAAAACGTCAGTATTTTACGTCGTGTTTTTTCAAGTCAAAATACTTATTTTTTTCACATTATGAAACAAGATTACATTGTTTCATATTGTGTCGTTCACAATGTGAATCAACATTTTAGTGTTTCATGTCAATGACTTTGTTTTGTTTCATAGTGTGAACAACACCTAGATGTGAACTAATGTGTTGTTTCACATAGTGAAACTATAATATCCAAAATTTAAAGTAATTGGTATTTTGGAAAGTCGTGGGAATTCTTTTGGTGAATCACAAAATTATGAAGTAATTAAACAAATACAAGGTTTTCATAGTAGTCATCTCGAATGTATATATGTATGTATGTATGTGTGGGTGGGTGTGTGTGTATATATATATATATACACACACACTATGTTCGATCCCGTGTATTACACGGGGTAATTTAAAAAAATTAAATCATGTCAGTAACTTATCTTACAAATATGAATGGTCATCGAAAGTACGATGTTACTTCAGACTTGTACTCTTGAAATAACTCTGAAGTATAACTCTAAAAAATGACTCTTCGGACTTAAATTTAGAAATGAATTATATCAATAATAATTAGTTAAAATGAAGTTAACCCTAGAATAAAATTGAATTTAGAAATGAAACTATATCAATAAATTGAATTTAAACTTAGATATATATATATTTAGAATAACTCTTCAAACTTGTACTCTTGAAATAACTCTGAAGTAAAACTCTTCAAACTTCAGACTCTACATAGGTAAGCCAGAAGCTCTGCATGCACTATGCAGAGGCTCTGTGTGCACTATGCAAAGGCTCTTCATCGTGCTTCGTCTGGAAAAGAAGACTTCAGAGTTCGGGTGAACTAACTCTAAATAATGACTCTTCAGACTTGTACTCTGGAAAATAACTCTGAAAAATGACTCATCAGACTTGTACTCTTGAAATAACTCTGAAGTATAAAATCAATCCCATTAAATCAGAGTTCAGACTTCTAAGTTTGAAAAAAAAAAGACTTCAGAGTTCGGGTGAGCTAAGTCTGAAAAAGAAGACTTCAGAATTTGGGTGAGCTAACTCTGAATAATGACTCTTTAGACTTGTACTATTCAGACTTGAAGAAGACATCAGAGTTCAGACTTCTAAGTATGAAAAAGAAAACTTCAGACTTCTTTTTCTTAGTCTAAAAAAAGACTCCAGAGTTCGGGTGAACTAAGCTTGAAAAAGCAGACTTCAGAATTCGGGTGAGCTAACTCTTTAGAATGACTCTTCAGACTTGTACTCTTGAAATAACTCTGAAGAATGACTTCAGACCTATGCTTTTGAAATAACTCTAAAATAAAACTCTGAAGAATGACTTCAGACTTGAATTATTGAAATAAC